TAAACTCTACCTGAATAACCGGCCATGTGTTTCCACACAAGGCTCGGGATTCGGAAACAAGCAGCTTCGATGAGCAGGAAGAATGGAACCCACTGATAGTAGGAGATTCGCCTCTGGCGTTTTTCTGTAGTTGGCATTCCAGCGACCACCTCACGCATTGGCACATAATACGTATCTTGGGCCCAACAATAATTCTCGGCGTACTGAAATGCAAACAACTCCACCAGTTACAATTAATCTATTCGATAAAACCAAAACTTGGTCAACATATCAGCGAAAACTGCGTTGAAAAACCGGGCAATTCAACTGGAAACTACAACTTCAACGAACCTGTTCCCATGCTCCCGAAAACAAGTCTGGCACAAGACATTCGACTGGTTTCCCACCAAACTGCTGAAAAGAATGAAAAAATCGCACTCAATGAATAAAGATTTTGATTATTTGGGCAATTTAAAGTATGGATAACAGCAGGGGGGGGGGTGTATATTCGACGTGACATTGTGCGACAAATTATGACTATACAAAACGTAAACGGGACAGAAATATTTGAAAGAACTGAGCAAATAACTCGAATTCATGAAATTTACCTTGAAACTAACAAGCACCGAGAAAGCTATCAGAATATTTGCGGTGAAATAACTGTGAAGACGATCGACGAAATCACGGTCATCTGCATGACTGACATAACGAAGCATAGAAAGAACAGCCGTAAGTGCCATGGTGGTTCAGACTTGTTGAAACAAACAACAACAATACGGAATGGGAATGAAGAAAGTAACAAGAATAAAACTGCTGCTTCACTTCACGTCTCCAATCACCTCAGAGGAAATTTCAAGCACATCCTGAAATCTATAACACGATCTGAAGATTATCAAAATATTGAAAAATTAAAATAAACATTCTTTTGCAGACTGAACCCTGTGAATGAAAATGACCATGGAGAATGCGAAGCACATATCAACCTGAGCGGCTATAACATCAAAAACGCGAATGAGAATCAATCCCACATGATAGTTAGGTTTTCTAAACGTCAAGTTTGTTCAAGTTGAAAAATCGGAAAGAACTCATAAAGGATTGGGAAGAAATTCCCCAGAATTTGTAGGACGAAGCAAGACTAATCGGAATGATTTGACTGAAAACATAGACGATTTTCTCCAAAACTAACAAAAAGACAATTTAAACAAGATAAACATCTGATTTACATATGATTGGTTTCATTCAGCCTCATTTAGCATGCTGCTCATTGGATCCGCATTGTTCATTTCGAGGAAGTTCGGTTCGTCAAAATCCCGCTAGGAAACGCCAATATGAAAGAAATAGATTTCGATAGTTGGTGGAACTTAATCAAATGTTATAATTTCGATAAGTTTTCACAGCTAGCACAGGGACATTAACATAACACTCGACCATAACAGAGCAACGATTCCGCGTATTAAATGTAACACAAAGAGGCAGTTCACTAAAGAGAGCCAAAAAACTAACAAAATTCAGAGACAGACTTCGGAGTAGATTGCAAGATTTTGCACGATGTGCAAATGCTTTCTTGCGCTTTGTTATAAAAATGTAAAATTGGAGATGTTGGGGAACAACCAGTTATTAGAGTGGTTTGCGAAGGAAATCAAAAGAAAGAACGGATGAATGATGCGTTTGGTGGGTGAGCGGGCTGGAGTGCCCTTTCCTGTGCCTATTTAGAGTAAACGAACACGTCGATTGATTACGCAAATCATGATTATGAAATGTATTCCATGAATCATACATCGCACTTTACTGAATGATCGCAAATCGTTGATTGGTGTCGAAAACGTTTGAGTATAGTAAAATAGAGACTGACTGGTAAACGAATCAAATCAATCACTTCATGCGTCACTATAAGATTACGAACAGAGAAATTTGCGAGCACGTACCGTACACAGAGTTCTTGTTCTTGTTGATTTTCTTAGATTTCTTGTTTATTCAACGATCGGTGAATTTATGAGAATAAGGTGATAGCAATCTTGTGAAAGTGCTGATTTTGACACNTGGAAAAATAAAACAGGTTTCCTAATCACGATAGCAAATATTTTTGAGAATTGCAGCTAATTTCGATGAGCGTAATAGTGTAATCGCCATTTCGAGAACATGTGTGGATAATAATATCTTTGCGAATGAATGAATCCACATTTCTAACATCTTTCCTAACATTGTCGTAAAGCAAATACAAATGCTTTTACGATAGACATTTATTGTTGACATTGATTGTCGAGTAGTTGTATGGGGAAGCGTATATAAACGAGAAAGTTGCTCTATCAAAACCAAATAATGATCAACGTTATGCTAATAAATGATTTTTAGTATCCGATAACAGATATTGATATGTTCATTAGAGGACAACAGAGATATAATCTTTAACAATAAGCAATATATTAAAACTCCTCAAATAATATTGCAATTTGAAACACTGGAAGATATTCGAGACGTTCGAGCATGGTATGAGTCCGTCAGTCGAGAGAACTGCATTTCACGATCAATTCAAAGTGATTCTCAGCTCTCAACGGTTAGAGAAATAGGTATGAATACAAGTCCCAGTATCTTGTTCGACTGAACGTTATCCTCACAATAATTGTGAGGATAACGTTCAGTCGAACAAGGTAGTGGAAAATGACGACTACAGTTCATTTCGTTCAACTGGAATTCTCGAAACGTAAGAATTAAATTGATCAGTTTTATGATCACTTCAAACATCCATCCACGGACGCACTCCACTGAATGATCCCAGATCGATGAATCGTCGAAAAGGATGGAATACAGCGAAATAAATTCAAACAAGTGATCCCCCGAATAGGAATTCGTTCTCTCTCCTGCCTCCTTATGAGAAGCAGTGGTTTGTAGTGAATTGAAGAATATTATCACAAGCTGAGAAAATTAAACGATTTGCTGCAGGATAGTAAAAAATATAAATGTGTAACTAATGAAAATGAGTTAACAATTCGATCACATTGTGCTGTCATCAAAATTGAAAACGTCTGAAAACAAAAGACTGAAAAAGTTTGCTGCAGAAGAAAACTAGAGAAGAAAGGAAATAAATTGTAAAAATCAGGTTGAACATTCAACTGTATCCAAAATCTGAGCACTTGGTTTTGAGTGAACGATTTAACTGTTGAAAGAGTACCTCCGTATTTTTTGTGGCTACTAAAAAGCTGGGAGAGGGAAGGCGAAAACGACAAAACAATGATTTATTTGAACAAATGATCGATCACCAGTAAAATGGTAAATAGAACAGATAGGCTGATGATGACAGCGATAATGAGACTCTGATGAGGGTGAGGATTAAAATAGAGAGAGAGGGAAAAGGGGCGAATCAAAATAAAAATAATTGAGTATTTTATCGAAATTGTCGAAAGAAGAGAATACACATCACATTCCGATCGTGAATGAAATACATTCAAAACGAAAATAATCCTGCATTATACGAACAAATAACAATGATTTATACAATGTGATTCAATTGTTTGTCAGTGAACCGATCAGAATGGAGGACTCAGAGCTGTGATAATACAGGAATCTATAGTAAATTTATAGTCATTTAATTCTGTTGGGTGGGCTACACTTTCATTTTATGATATCAATGAATGAAATGGTTTTTGCTGGCCGAAAGCAGCTGGCATAAAGGAGTGTGAAACTTAGCTGATGGTGTTTATATCGTACAGTAGAGCCAGAGCACAGTTCATTTCAAAGGATTGATTGTGAAACGAGAATGGTCGCTAACTGACGTCCTAATGTATGTATTGTAATCGGAGTACTATTCGGACATGTAGGAAATTGTACGATCCAATAAACAATTCCATTCTGTGCGTTATCAAAACATTCACTCACAAAGGATCCTTAAAATAAACACCAAATAATTCTGAACAAACCATTGTGAGCACGAATTTCAACTGTTAAGCGCGAACGTAAACAGTGTATGTGATTGTTACGTCACTGAATAAATAAATGATAACAATCTGTCGAATCGATAACATTCACCTCTGCGAAACTCGTGAGCAACACAGTGAACAGAAGCTTCTCGTCTATGAAACTAACGAGGAATGTGTCTTTGAGATTTCGCTCTCTCCCCTTGAATCAAATATCTTATTGAAATTCAAGCGAGTTGAAGTTAAATTGGGACGAAATACTGGTAGGTATATGCAATCAAATGCTTGTTGTTGAGGTACCACAAAGGTAATTAGAACCACATGGTGGCATCGACTAAGCAGTAAAGAATCACTGCGTCTTCTCAAAAGAAATGCAAATCAATGTGATTGTAGCAAATGCAAACTGCAATAGATTTGTGCAATAAATGTCTGATATCTTGAAACTTACAGATGATTATGAATGAATGCTGAACGCATTAATCTATTAAACGCCCACTGGTGAAAGTTCCTTTGCAAAAATTAACTGTTCTTTTCAATACAACATCAGGTTTCAGAAACCAACAGTCTGATCTCTTTCATCACCCTAAGCGAGCATAGTTAATGTCAAGATGAGATAAATTTATGCAATCAAATGCTTGCTGTTGACTGGGCATCCCGTCCAACGGATGAAGATGAAATAAATTTTGAAACAGCAACAATTATTTCGAAAAAGGAACGAACCGAAACGGTAATATACGTTAGTTCATCGTGGAATAATCAGGCTAGTGCAGGGAAGCCTTCATGAATGCAGTGAACGCATTCCATGGGCACATGGATGAGATTTCCCACCGGAATACACCTTAAGCGAAAGGTGGAGGAAAATCGTTCAAAAATAACTGAAAAAAACCTTTTAGTCTAAAAAAGAACCATAAAATGAATACGAAATGAAGTTCATCATCTGCACAGTCGAACGTGAAACACTGGACATCCCGTCCAACAGATGAATAATCGGAAGTGCAATTTTCAGCTCTATGAATTCAGTTCTTCCGTCAGACCACAACGACACGTTAATACTTTATACATCCTCCATTCCTCGCAGAGAATAATGAGTGTAACAAATATATATCAACACACGACAATATTTCACAACAATTAATGTAATGAATATGTCACCACATGTCATACATTATCATCAAATTATCACAAAACTCCTGGCTGATTTCCATGACCATCTTCCTCCATTCCCGATCACTCTTATCACGTTGTGTTGATCATGCTCATACCCACTCGAATCGTCCATCATTCATCATGCTGCTCCTAATTGATATCGATTGCCCCTAAAAATTTACTTCGCAGTTCCAACTGGATATTTTTTGAAACACCCACCTTATGTTATAATAACTTATCTCACGCCGAACGCCGCCTAATTCGCTAATAAATCTCGACCATATCATGCACAAAACATGAAAAGTTTCAAAAGCGGAGACCGAACCGATAGTTCATTATTTATCACATTACTTCTCACATACGTTGATTTTTCGCATTTTGACGCTCTCAGTTCTCTGATGATTCCAAAAACATGCCTTTCAGTTATCAGCAAGGAAAAAGGGGGAGGATTCGACCGCATTCGACTGCTCAGAAAAAGACATATTCTCGAATTCAGACTGCCATGAAATCGCAAGGATCGAAATTGTCTTTCACAATCTTTTGCTTTCAATTTTCAATTGGATATCTTGTAGCGTTTTGCTCCTCTACTACAATACTTCACCCAAGGTTCTACAAACGATAAATTAAAGAAAATTGCACGATACAACTACAATTCGCTAATACTCTCATTCATTATACGCCGA